CTTCTAAAAAGAAATTAATATCCTTTGTTTTCATAAGTAAAAGTAGGTATGCATGTTAAGTTTGAAATTATTCTAGTACATATTCAAATAGCAAAAAGTGCATTAAATTTGAATTATGCTAGTAAATACATCTCAATCTTATATACAACAAAAACAAAACTCAGTATCACATACAAAGTAATACTTACGTCAGCATCTGTGGCAGTAGCCTGTAAACCAAAAGGCTGTCCTACTGTTTGAATTTCTAAAATATTTCTAGTTGGTAAGGTGATAGGTGACATGCTTGGTCTTACAATATTTCTGGTAACTGTTACATTTACAACTGCTACATCAGTTCTACTTGGTGAACCTCCATCATATGCTTCAACACGTATCTATCATGGTATAATAAAACAAAAACATTGTCAGCTCGAGATAGTAATTATTCTGTCTGATGAAGACAATAAAACAATACAGAGTGTGATGAGGACTATTTTTCCAGACAATTTACAACTCTTGAAGATTCTATCATGAGTACAGCCTGGAGCACACAGGGCCTCAGATATTTTTTCCATGTTAACTCTCCCAACATACATCAATAAACTGGTTTGTAAAATTGGCATAAGAGCTGCATTTCAATGAAATGAATGTTAACAATGTACCAATTTAAGTGTTCAAAGAGCAAATATTGCTGAATCAAAAGTACCACAATGAAATAGTACAAAAACAATTCTGATTGAATTTTCAAAAAGAAAAAGGATATGTACCTTGTATTGTTGAGCATTATCAGTATTAAAGGCATTATTCAGTCTAATTTCTCCACTGTCTTGATTGATATTAAATATTGTTACAGCATTATCATCTCCAATTATTCTATATTTTACTACGTTGAATGGAGCCTAAAATACACATATAGAAAATATTTTATCATTTTCTAGCAAAATAAAATTTGTGCTAAAATTAATCATGCAATGTTTGGAATGCTATTTGTATATAAAAACTATGTTATCAGTTCATAGTTCATACTTTCTCCTAGCACTGTATTTTAATTTTATATGAGCTTCATGTGAACATTTCAATATTAAATATTAGGAATTGAAAGAAGTCAAAATGAATACTAACATCGGAATCACTGTCAGTAGCATTGACACGTTTCACCAAAAATCCAGCATTATTAGCAGAACTTAATACAGCATTGTAAGGTTCATCTTGAAATATTGGTGGGTTATTATTTCTATAAACTGTTACATTTACTGGTATTAAATTACTCCTTAATGGTGAACTTCCTGAATCTTCAGCATAAATATTAAACTAAAATATAAAATACATGAACAAATTAGTATACATATGGGTTTTTAACTTATAACTTCATAATTCTACTAGAAGTGTATTGCAGATATTGAAACTCAGGTCTTCATGCTACAGAGTGTTATCAACAAGATTTCTGAATTTCTATAAGACTCCATTCCATTACTAAATAATACAGCCCTCAGCTCAGTTGTCAGTTTTTCAAAAATGACTTATACACCTTCTTTTCACGCTGCACGTCATCTTTTAATGTAAAGCAGCTTGTTTAGAAAACTCTTTATAAAATTTTGATGAAATGATCCAGAATACCAGTTTTCAACAAACATATAGAAGAAATAAACATAATTACTTACAATGAAGTTGTCTGGTGAATCACCAATCAGGGAACGTTTAACACTAATCCGACCATTGTCAATACTAATTTGGAATCTGTCATTGGGTTGTTCAATATAATACTTTACTCTACCATATTGAGCCTATAGAGAGGAAATTAAAAGTAAGAGGTCTTACATTCAACAAATCTGTTCCTTACTGAGCTAATAACAAACAAGCAAAATCAAACAGTATGCAATGAGGCAAATTTGAACTACCCACAGAGAATGATGCAGTCTATGTCAACTTCAATAATACTAGTGATCTCTAGATAATAAACTATAAAAGGTAAAGAAAGAGTTACCTACCCGGTCATTATCTACAGCTAAAGCAGTGATAAATGATTGACCAACAGTTTGAGTTTCTGGTATTCGTGCCGAATAAGAGTTCTGTGTGAAGCTCGGTGTTATGAAATTTCTCTTGATGTTTACAGTCAATACTTGTACACTGGATAGTCTGGGACTACCACCATCCCGAACTCTCATTCTCACCTACATTTTAAAAGATTCATGATACATATATATTTATAAAAATGCTTCTAATAATTTAACTATAAATTATTATCTTGATCAACAAATAAGTTTAAAATCATGTTTTAATTGTTTATGGGATGTCATAGGCATAATTAATGCAACTATCCTGTCAAAACTATCCTGGAGTAACACTAATAATACATACCAGGAATTTGTCATTTGTAATTGATTGTACACTTTGTGTTAAACTGACAACACCCGATGTTGGATTAATAGCAAAATACGAAGCTGCATTATCATCACCAATAATATCATACTCTATTCTACTGTATGGCTCCTACAATAATAAATCTTGTATTATATAAAAATATATGCCTTTTTCAGAATAACGTAAGTATACATACAAAAAACTGATGTTTACAAGGTTACCTTCAAAAATTTAAAAAAATTACCAAATGATCAATCTTTATCAATTATAGACTTACATAAGTGTCAGCATCAGTGGCTTCTGCATCAAAAACTTGTCCTGTTGCCCTGTTTTCATTAATTTCAATCTCATAATTAACGTTGTTAGCAAATGTTGGTGTAAACTCATTTCTAAACACATTAACGATGACCCTGGCCGCAGGAGCAGCTATTTTGCCTCCACCATCTGTACCATTAACGAAAAACTATAATAAAAACATATATATATGAATTCTTAAGAAGTTAATATCGGACTTCCTGAATCTTACCTCAGGGCTTCACAAAAAAAAAAATGCTGTCTGCATGACTCAAAAATGCTAAAATTGCATACAAAAAACTGTAAAATACAAGGATACCTACAAAATTTAAAAGAAATAGCTGTTTTGGATCTGCTTAAAGTCTTAAGGTCCTGGTTCCAATTGATAATTACCAATTGGTATAACAACCCCAAAAAAACTTAACATGAATGCTGAAAGTAACAAAGTAGCCTTCTGTGCTTGACTTCTTACCTCATATACTTTGTTATCAGTGACATCATCAATCAAATATCTTTTTAATGAAATTCCACCATTTGAGTTAATCATGAAATAATTTTGAGGATTAACAAAGGAGTATGTGACTTGATTATATGGATTGATTCTATCACCATCTACAGCATAAACTGTTTGAAATACATTGCCAACTGAATTGGTTTCTGGTATAGATACATTGTAGACTGTTTGATTGAATGCTGGATTTCTAAGATTTCTGTTAACAGTGATGAATACTAGACCTTGAACAGTTTTACTGGGGTTACCATTATCTCTTGCTATAAGTCGTAACTAGAAAGAAAAATAATGTCGAATTATTTTAAGTTACTGTCTAATGTTTTACCATTACATACTACTGAAATACTATTGTATTGTTTACATACCTACTGTATTTATGTCATATACAGAGATCATGTTATTTAGGTTTGACATCAGATAAGTTCACTGATGAACATCAACCTTTTTTTTGCCAAGATAAAAATAGGGTCATCCTAAGAATAGTATTCCTTTAAATGCAGATCTAAGGACAATTGCCAATAAAAAGATCAAAAACAAATTCATTCAGTCAACTTGAAGGTAAAATTTGATGTTTAAGATAAGTGTCATTTTGATACTTACTGTATAAGCAGTTCGAGCATCAGTTGTCAGATCTGAATTTACTGTCACATCACCACGATTACCAACTTGATCCACACGGAAATATCTTGTAGCATCACCATCACCAATAGTCTCAATAGAGACCACATTAAATGGGGGCTAAAAAGGAATATATTTTTAGAAACATGGAAAATGATTCAACAAAAATAGGACACCAAATTGACAAGACATAAAACAGTAAAACAAGGACACATAATATAAAATTCAAATTCTCTTTGAAAATCACAGACAAAATGACATATCATTCAGGACACATGACTCTATACAGCTTGCTGAGCTTTCATTGTTTTCACTTGATAAAATCTATTGACATTGTACAGTAAAGCATCACTAAGCTTGGTCTAAAACACTGCAGTATACAGACACACATAGTAAATATGGTGGAAAATAAGACTACTTACAGCATCATTATCTGAAACTGTTATGTTACGTAAAATAGTTCCAATTGGGCGGTCTTCGTCAACATTAGCTGTGTAAGTTAATTCACCAAATGCAGGATCATTTCTATTCCTCAAAACAGTTATTCTAACATTGGCATTGAAAGTTCCCTGTCTAACTGGTGTACCTTTATCTTGTACTCGTACAGTTAACTGAAAATATTTCATATATATATCAAAAATGAACATATATTAGATTTAACAGTGCTCTCTGAATCAAACTCTATATTGTTCTCTATACAGTTAGAAACTAGCAGTTTAAAATTTTGTATACAGCTAATATTGGTGACAATTTCTTTGTGTCAATGGACATTTTATTGCAACTTGATTTATCTTTCTTGTTAACAGACTTACATCATAATTATCATCACCATCTAATAATAATGATCGTTGAGCATATACACCACCTTCTGTATTGATATTGAAATAAGTATCAGCTTTTGTAGCACTTGGTACCACAAAGAATTCTGTTACATTGTGAGGTATCTATAAAACAAAAAATATCTTCCACTTTTACACTCCCATAAAATTATATTGAGTATAAAAAAAAGACAAGAAATTCTAGAATTGTTCAGAGTTTAAAGGGCAAATCTTGAAAATATTTAGGGCAGAGTCACCAGCATCAAACTTAGACAACAACTTCACCAGCAGGTACTGTAGTCCAACATGCTTGTACTTTGTTCGTTCCCAAAACAAAACCATTACTTTACACATAAATCTTTGCCATCAAAATAATGATGATGATTGTATGTTTTTTTTTTTAAACTGGTTATACTTACAGAAGTATCATCATCAGTAGCAGTAACTTTTATAAAAACAATTCCTAAATCTTGAGTTTCATTGATAGTAACGTCAAAATTTCGACTTGTAAATACTGGAGCTCTAAGATTCTGGTTAATGGTGAAAACAACAGTTTCAGTGGAAAATTTTGATGGCTGACCATTATCATAAGCTTGTACTCGGACCTATTACAATAAAAAAATCAAAATCAACATCTGTCTAGCTTATTTAAGACATGGGTAGTGGAAAACCTGAATCGAAATAAAATGAAAGTTTAACTTTTTTGTACTGCAGTTTAGGATAATGGATAGGGCAATGATAAGCAATATAAAAGCAGCATCTATTCTATTTCCACTTGTCAAGAAAACTTTAACATGTACAGCCTACAGCACACAGGGCTACTAATTGTTCAGTATTAATGTAAGGTAACTAATGATATCAAAACACAATAAACTTACAATTAGAACATTTTTAGTCAGACCAGCCAAACTATTTTTTAAGGAGATGGCACCAGTAACTTCATTTATTTGGAAAAATGTTGGTGCCTCATCATCACCAATAATTCTATATCTGACAACATTAAATACCTAAAATAAAATAAGTTTTATATTCCATATAAATTCTTTATTCATAAGAGTCTTGTCCTTGAATGCAGTCCTGTGCAGTCTTTAAAAATTTGTCATCTTCATGTGATTTAAATATGTTTTCAGATACTTACTGAATCTCGATCTGAGGCTGATAGTCGAATCAATTCATCATTTACAACTTGATTTTGATCAATACCACGAGCATAGCCAGTTGAAGTAAAGTTTGGAGCAAACAAATTTCTTTCTACATTGACTGTTATTGTTGCTGTAGTTGGTGATGTTTTAGGTGGATTTCCTCTATCTTCAATTCCAACAGATAACTAAAATAGGTTACAAATTAATAAACAATAACTAAAATAGGTTACAAATTAATAAACAATAACTAAAATAGGTTACAAATTAATAAACAATAACTAAAATAAGTTACAAATTAATAAACAATAACTAAAATAAGTTACAAATTAATAAACAATAACTAAAATAAGTTACAAATTAATAAACAATAACTAAAATAGGTTACAAATTAATAAACAATAACTAAAATAAGTTACAAATTAATAAACAATAACTAAAATAAGTTACAAATCAATAAAGTTGACAAAAAAGGCAAAAGAGATCTGTAGTGTGCCATTTTTTCCTTGGTATCATGACATAACACAGTATTGATGAGGACAGTAACTTTGACCCCCACAGTTTTTGCTGTTTTATGTGAAGTAAAAGAGCTAATAGAATTTTGATATAAATTTATGATGGAAATAAGATCGACCAATCAACATAATAATGACAATTGAATTAATTCAGTCTTTAATATGTTCTCTTCTATTTATAGTGATAACTAGTTACCTGATAGCTGGATTCAGTTCCACCTAACAATGATGCTTTCAGTCGAATGATACCATCTTCATCATCAATTTGAAAATAAGAGTTACCTGGATTATTACCAGTTAAAAAGTATCGAACTCGACTAAAATCACTCTGTAGAAAAAATACACTAGATTAGACACAGAAATATCATAATTTGAAGAACAAATATAAAACATTAAACTACTAAAATACATTGAATGACAATGCGAGAAATAGAAGATTAAAATAAAAAACAAATCTTAAAGGCAATGAGCTTACTGTTTCTTACTTTATAAAAACTTATGATTTAACTTTAAAATATAAAACTTACATTGGCAGGGACATCAGCATCTTGAGCATCAACATCATAGACATTATAATTAAAATCAATTGTTTCAAAAACTGTAGTAGAGTCAGAAAATCCAGGACCAGATGGTGTGATAAATGTAGGTGCAAGTAAATTTCTATCTGCTGTTACTCGGACAAAGTCATAATCAACTTTAGCTGGTGATCCACCATCTTCAACTTTAACAGATATCTAAAATATTATACGAGATAATAAGATAAATGAGACTCAAATTCAAATCTGACCTTCATTTTAGGTTTATGTACATGTATATATATTTATATTCTAGAGAGTATTTCAGTAAATGTGAACAGAACAATTGATTGATTAGAAATAGTCACCACATAGGAAATATAGTACATTATAAGTGATTGCTCATATAGTAGAATTTCAATCAGTCAGCCTCAATTTTTGATTCTGTGGATTGTAGTTTCAATATTAAATAAAATATTACATACAGTATAAACTTCTTCTGGGTCTGAACTAATACCATTAGTTAACGAAATCTCACCAGTATTACTATTAATAGTAAATCTATTTTCTTTAGAAACACCAACAATACTGTATTTCAATACATTAAATGGTGCCTACAAAACAAAGCAATTATAAACAGTTTCAAAATATTAAAAATTAAAATTAATGTGTGCTTGATAAAGATTCATGTATGTGAATTGAAATGTTTCTTATATTATAGGAGTAGTATATCAATAACAGTGTTATCATTTCTAAATGTCATTTAAAGATTAGCTTATACTTTGATTAGACTATACTTTGGTTAAAATTACTCTTCCATGCTATACACTTTAGTTGAATTGAAGGAGAATCAGATACCTGATCATAATCCTGCTTAGGAAAGCTGAAAAAATTGAACTCATTGATCTCAAGAGAACTATAACCCGTATGTTAATTACAGACGAAGAAAATTAAAAATCTTACTCTAACATCACCATCAGTAGCATTGATATTTATAACTGGAGTTCCTGGAATTGCTGTTCGTGGTATTTTAGAATTGTATGGTGTATTGACAAAAAATGGAGCAAGCTGGTTTCTTCGAACTTCAATATTAATAGTAGCTGCTTGTGGAGAGTTGAGTACAGGTTCACCTAAATCTTGAGCTTGAATTCTTAACTACAATATCAAATATGATAATTCATATAATAAATATATATTAAATACTCAACATTCATTAAAAATTGGGTACATACACTGAATCATAGAAGTTTGTAAATAAATCCAAATCTTTTTTAAAAGTTTGATGATATGAAAATCAATTTCATGGAGTTAATAGTAGTGTTTACTTACAACATAATTAATATCTGTGTCTTCAGTTAACCTTCTACTAACAGATATTTGACCATTTGTTGGATTGACAGAAAAATAATCTGGAGCCTGATTGTCACCCAGAACACTGTATCTAACATCATCACTTGTAGGCTAGAATTATAAATAGTAACATCATATACCATACCACACAGATAGAGACTAATAGTAACATCATATACTATACCACACAGATAGAGACTAATAGTAACATTAGGTCTACATCATATACCATACCACACAGATAGAGACTATTATATTGGTCTTTCTGGGCCAGACAGATGAACAACTGTTATTGTTTAACTATCTGTAGAGTCTGAAGAACTCATGGAACAGAAATGCTGGGTGATTTTAGATTCAGTTAAATAAGAATTAATAAACAACATTATGTAGCTACATTATCTGAATTTGATAATTTGAATCCAACGATAAAAAAAAACTCAAAACACAAAATAGAATATATCACATAAACATGAAACAAATCATCATTCAATAAAATCCCTCCAGAACAACCTAAAAGCTATAAATCATTTGTTGTTGTGTTTTGTAGTAATAAAGAGAATATACTTACGTCAGTATCATTAGCAAGTACTGTTTCAATAACGGTACCTAAATCTGTTGTTTCATCAATAACAACATTCTTATTAATATCTTCAGGTCTAAATATTGGTGCCTCCAAATTTCTAGTAACTTTAAGTCTGACAACTGTAGTAGCTGATTTAGCTGGGATGCCATCATCTGTTGCTTGTACATAAATCTGAAATGATGAATTTTAATGTTAATGATGTTAATGATCACAAAACTAAAACATTCCTTAGTAAAACAGTATTATACATTCTTAAATTTAATCTATACATATACATATATTCTAATACCACAGAAAACTGAAGATGGGGTATTTAGTTGAGTATATTTAGAAGATTTTGAACCTACAGTTGGTTACTGCTATTTTATGTCATTGACAAAGAGATATTTTAATAAAGTAATTGAATGGCATTTAGCAATTGTGAGTACGATATATAGACACAGCTTTATGGAACAACAATCACGGGGTAAAGTTTTATGCAACGTTTCCATG